TGACTGTCGTTCCCATATAACTCTATGTGCCTGCATGCATTCTCTTCACTCTCCATGATGTTTTGATAACGCGTAATTAATCCTGATTTACACAATTAGATCTTTAGTGTACGATAACGAGAGATATTAGAGATACACTTATTTCGAGTGTGTTAAATATCGCGAGTGTTAGTAATTGTCTTCTTACTATGAAAATTGATATCCGAAACCGACAAGTTGAAAGCAGTCGCTTGCTGGGAATCATCTTTTTTTTTCAAGTTTTTATTCACATACGCGTGCAACGTAAAAGTTGCGGTGCCATCCCGCTTGGATGACTTTCCAATATCCTCAAATTTTAGCTTTTCGCAACCTAAAAAATCATGTGGTATTTAACGAGTCTGAGAGATATTTACCCAAATTAAACTCTCTTCCTACCTTCCCCTGTTTGTACTGATGTTAATATACATCGGACATCCTGTGTCAAGTTAGCCTAAAAAGAAGGAATAAATTTAATGTGGATAGGAAGTTTTGCAATTGTCTGCACGTGATATTGATAATCAGTCAGCTTAAGATGAGGAAAAAGATTATATACCAATCAAATGACACACAGCTAAAGATAAACCTTTGTTTCAGCTTGTATCATCAATCATTTACGTAATACAAAAATTAACATGTCATTATTGATTTTCGTTATCTGTTTGCTTACAATTATATTTAATAATCGAAAGATTAATCATATGATTCATCTACAGTCTGTTCAATAAGAGAGGAGAGAGGGAGGAAGAGGGAGAAGAGGAGGAGGAGAAGAGAAAGAGTAACCGGTATAATTTTTAAACTATTTGTTGTAAAAAAATGAAGAAATTATATGTAGTACACATCAGTACTACAACGCGCTTTTATATTAATAAATCGTCCATTTATCGCCATTGTCAATTAATTGTCAATTATAATAATTATTATCAATTATTGCCGACATCTTTGAGGCATACTTTCTACCAATTTTATAATATGAGAACATGACCGTGTAAATTTTTATTTGGGAATTGCTACATCAAACATTTCTGAAGAGATAGAAAGGTTCTCCTCTACATTATATAGTCTCAATTTTTGTCCGATTTTAGAGAATGACGCATTTAAAGACGGATGTCGTGGACGTTCAAAGATTTGAAGCTATTCTCCTTTGCACGTATAATTCGAAAGGACCGAAAAGGTCAGAAAGGATGGCTATAAAAGAAGTATAAGACATTTGTAAACAAGTGGAAAAAATGGTGTAGATCAATAAACACTATTGATAATAATTCTGTGAAATCGCGATAAGACACGTAAGATATGTGAAAAATTGTATCAGTCACGCTTTTATTGAACAGATTGTACCCAGATAGAACTGAAAGTCGTAATAATATCATAAATAAAGTTATGATTTTATTTATCATTTTATTTACTTATAAATGACATTGTCATGTCAACGTTCTATCATCATGACTCTGTATTTTATCTATAAATAGCCATTTTTCATAGAAATTGAAGAATTGAAAACAAGATGTTGCTTTTTAATAAATTAAAGTCTGATTAATTTTCATCTAGTAAATCACATCGACTCTTAACAGCAACATCATTTATAATAACTTTTCAATTTTTAGCATTATATCTCTTCATAAATAAGCTTCAAATTAGAATTTTAAAAACTCATCATATCTCTTTGTAATTTTGCTTTAAATTAGAATTTTGTTAAAAACTTTGTCTGAAAATTGCCGACAAATGTAATTTTGCAATTCATTTGGTTCCTTAAAATTTAGTTAACAGAAAAGCATTCAGCATTAGCTCTTCTTTTTCATTCTCTTACCTATAATTCGAAAATTATTGGTATCTCGATATTTTCATCAAAGAAAAATCATATTTAAATTTAAAAAAATCAATGTAAAAAAATAATACGCGAAAAAAGGAACATCCTATGTATAAACCTGTTATTACTATACATATAACGCGACATACGTTGCTCCAAAAGTAACACAATGACGTCTGAAATTAAAGAGAGCAATATTATAAAACGATAAGGAAAGGCTTGTACCTTCAATTTAACTTTTATGTAGAATTAATATAATTTTTGATAAACTTTTTAATTATTAATTATATATATATAGAATTATATAGAATATAATTATTAATAAATAAATTCATCTGCGAATCGACGTGCGAAAAAAAGCAAGTAATACTTGAGGCATCCTGTATACATGACTGAGGTGACACTTCCAAGAAACCTGGAACCTGAACAGGTGATCGGAACGAAGTGACACTTACCGATTTCTGGCAGTAGTCTGAATAACAATGCGAAGCTGAAAGTCCAGTCAAAGAACACAGGATAACCGCGGCGAGAAAGCCGTTGCGAATTGTCGCCCGCATATCTTCTAGGTTATTGCCCGCTCACTCGACAATACACAACATTCGGTACACGGCACGTGTCGTCGACCTCGACATGTCAATCGTGCGGCGGAATCGCGACGATAACTCGGATGTTCATTGTGACATTAATTACCATACCACAGCTCCGAATCATATGCGCTTCACGTTGAAAACGACGCAATATACTGTACGCGAACGACAACAATCACTTTTCTCGGACACGAGGTCGCAAACTGCGCGTCGACGTGAGGAAGGCTCTGCTGGGAGTACCAGGTACTGCTTACGTTGCTTGTCGTCGACAAGAACGGTCTCTACAAGACGGATCATCGATGACTCGAGTCATTTGAGTCATCGATGATACATCATCCAATAATTACTGCATCGAATGAGTCTGACTAAAAAATGATTAATGAATCAATATTTCTTTCTGATCTCGAAATATGTTATATATTTTTAGCACGCAAACACAGATTAAAGACACAAACAGAAACCTACTTAATTGCTGAAAGGATCAAGATAAATTTTGTGACATTTTGATAAGATAAAGAATAAAAGTGTATCAAAACGATATCAATTTTCTAAGTGCGGAAATTGAACTTGAGAATAAGACAAAAGGAAAGAAGAGAAAAAGAGAAAAGTATTTTTTATTTTATAAATAATTTTATTACAGAAGTATGAAACGTTTGTTTAAAACAATAAATGCATAAAAAATATTATTGCACGCATTGAGCACACTAGAAAATAATATGATTCATATTTTTTTCTTGAGGCTTCCACGGATGCTTTCTGTATGAAGGTTATCCGTTTCGCGGGTTTTTTCCGTGTCCAAATCCATTCTTGGAATGCCAACGTTTCGTGAACCTTGCAGTCCACTTCATCAGGCCAAGAATGGATTTGGACACGGAGAAAATCCGCGAAACGGATAATCTTCATGATTCATATTTGTTTTTATTGCAGTGAATGATTTCATAAACCGACATCAGATCACAATGTAGATCAGATCTGAGATTTATAATCTTATCGCAAAAAAAATTATGAATTTCTTAAAATTGTAACGTATGCAATGTGCTGCAATGTTAAATCAAAATATTAACATTAATGTACCAGTTTTTGCATAAATTTGACAGTGATCATTCACAAAAAAAATTCATATTCTATTATTCCAATTTTTTTTAAATTAAACATTTTGTCTATGTAACAAATATTCTGTATTTGTTAACGATTACTTTTCTTATTTTTAGTTAAAAATTAAAATACAGTACATTAAAATTTAAATATACAAAAACAAGAATAATGTTATATACATACATATACATATTATCAGGAAAAAAATGTTATATAAATGGGCATATTTTATATATGAAAAATATATATATATGTGTGTCAATTTTTTATATAATTTTATCATCTTATATAATCATATATAATTTTATATAATTATATATGAAATATTTTTTCCCGGGTATACAATTAGTCTTTTTTTACATTAAATTTTAATGTAAAGTATTACTTTAATATTCAGTTAAAATTATTTAAATTATAGAAAAATTAATTCAAAAAAATATTTACTGAAATTCGAAGAATTATACCGCTTCTGTAATAACGATAGAAGATATTAATGCTTAAAGTTACGTAATAACGATTTTCAATGAACTAACTCTCAGAACTAACAGCCAAGTTCCTTTCTGATTCTCATTGTACAAGTTAATTCATTACTGTGAATTAAATATCCTACATTTTGAATTCACTTAATCCTAATTTAATACAATTCATTAATAGTTAAAGAAATATTTTAGCGTTTCAAAAGCCAAACTGATCAATTCCTGTAATTTTTTAATCATTAATTTACCAGGATACACAGATTTTATATTATTTCATTCATTTTTTCTAGTTTTTATTTCATGGAATTGATCATTTAACTTCTAATCATTCGATAATTATATGATACGCTTTAGAAGCATGATTAATAATTAACTAATAATGATATAAGGTATTATAATAAATTTTCATAGTACCTAATCACCATACAAAATAAATTTTAGTACTTTAAAATGTCAGTAATGAGCAATTTATTTAGCATAATAGAGTATAAGTTTAGCATAACTTCCTACATAGCGCAAAACATTCTAGCAATATTACAACATCGTTGCAATGTTACTGCAATATTGCAGGAACATTAATATCGCTGCTCGAATGATTATGCTGTATCGATTTCGTCAAATTACATATCACTTTGATAGCAGATAGGTGCGACGAAAAGTTCCTTGCATTCAGTAATATTCTTCGAATACAGTGTTGATAAATTTATAATTAGTCTTAGTTACATGCACCAGATAACTTTGCAATTTTGCACGATATCTTCACAGATGCGACACACCATGCAAGAAGCGATCAGAAAAAAGAAAGATTGCAACGCGCATTTCTTCAACAATTACATTAATACTTTTTTTAATAATAACTTTTTTTTAATTAAAAAATCTTGATAACATGATCGTTATTGCAAAAGAAAGACGAGGATATTCTGTTTTTTCTTTTTCAAAACAAATCATCAAGATAAATTTTTCTTTTCTTGAAAATGGTATAAAGCTAATACTAAAATAGACTGTCATCCAAAATTAATTATCTTAGTGATTTTTCTACCACGAGAGGAAAAAAGAAGTGCTAAAGATTTATCTTGAGAGCTGGCTATATATACTGCTTTCCTCGTGAACGTGAAAATTTTTGTTGGGATTGTGGACGTTTTATCACAGTGAAATACAGTAACGTAAAGTAATAAGCTTTTATTTATTACACAATGAATTTTATATTCTGCAGTTATGTGATACTAAAAAAAAGCAAGAGAAAAGCAAGAAGATATGGCAACAAAAATAAAGTTCAAAATTGTAAAGATCTAGCATTCAATCTTTCCAATAAAGACCATTACATTAAGCAATTTAGGTTTGCTTATCAGTATGATCAAAATGTTTCTGTAAATCCTGCCAACATTTGTAATACTCATTGTCCAGCTTATTGCAAAGCTTACTAGCCCATTGTGTCATGGCCATGCTATACGAGGTTTCAAACATAAATGCCTGCATATCATCAGCGATCCGTTCTGGCACCAGCTCGCTCTTGGATGCAGCCTCGAAGCACTGTCTATCGGGACCGTGCGGAGTCATTATGGAATGTAGCGATGCACCACCAGCAGAAAAACCATCCTCTTTTGCCTCGTAGTGACCCTTTATCAAGCCCATAAACTCGCTCATGCAATTTCCTAAGAAACCAATAGTACAGTGTCATTATTGTTCGAAAATTGTGTTCAGAAATATATATAAGCTATATTATATAAATTCATATATGTATATATATAAGAAAAAAAGGTAGAGAAAATATTGTAAAGAAATTATAGATAAAAAAAATGAATAAAAATATAATACTTGACATTTATTATCAAGAAAGAGAAAATAATTTATACCGTCATTAAAATTTTAAGGATTAAATTCAATAATAACAATTTTTATGTAATTTTGACAATTGAAAAATTTAATTATGCATAGGAAAAAATACTGTAATAAACTGTTCTGTTCGAATAGTAATAAGATGTAAATAGCGTTTTATTTTTATGTGTAGATAATATAAACATTCGAAAATAGAAACAGTAGCGTAAATGTAAAATAGTTCATTGTATATGTTATCTCAATTACTTTCTTTATCTCAATTACTCAACAAAAAATCTTATCAGTCTAAACTGGTTCTTAGTGCTTAAATATTTCTCATGTGAATTTATATGTATATATATATATATATATACATATTTCTACAAATTATGTTATCAACTGTATCAATAGTGTAAACCAATTTTGTGAAATATCCGCGTCTTGTTAAAAAATAGGAAAACTTACTATAACGTAACTCGCTTATACAAGTTCTAAGTCATCCACAAAATTCATTATAAATAATATCTACGATTTGATTTCACAAATGTTAAATATTCGACAAAATTTCACACATAACGTTCGATGTTGCAGATGACTCGTTTAGTACTAGCAATATACCAACTTGCCAACGTTAATCTTCATCGTCGGTGGATACCATCGACAAGTCAACATGCGAAACGAACGCGTAAGCGTCACGAGCTATTCGCGATCGCGCAACGAGACGCAGTGGCCGGATCTGCAATGGAAATTACGCGTATTTTGCATATTATCGCTCTCCATGCGCCGCCGACTTATTCATTAACGTGGAGAATGGCTCGCATTGAATACGCCGCTACACTGGTTATCAAATCTCGGAGAAAGCATGGCGAACGGCTACTCTTACTGATACTCAAATGTATTCCGAGATACATATTGTTTCTAGCCTCATACATTGTTGCGCAGTTTTATATTAGTAAATTGCCTACATATCAATGCTATGCACATAAAGAAATATAAAAAAAATTCAATTGATTAAATTTTTATGTTAATTAAATTCCAGTTTTCTAGGAAAAGTAAAAATAAGGAAAATGAAATAGAATTAAACACGAGGTGAAAGAACAAAGTTAAAGTATTAAGTAAGAAATAATTAATAGAAAATCTATATTAAAAATCTTTACTTACTGAAAAATGAAAATGATCATTACAAAAAAATTATTTTTAGAATTGTGTCATTGAATTTTATTTCATGAAAAATACTTATATTATAAAATATCTCACGAGAATATTTTTTAGTCACCTTACTTCGTAAACATTTTTTATCAGTTTCACAATAATTTATACCGAATAAACATTTATAATTTTTTTCATACATATACGTATATTCGATATTCACCGATGACAAACATGGTATAATTACTTTCTCCACTTATTTACCACAGCTATTAAACGATCGTCAATTTTAATAAGATCCCCGATAATCAGCATTAATTTAACGATCAAAAAATACCACCTCGCGTCCGTCACAGTTACTCCGATCGATCCTATAATTTTGCACGCGCGTAACTTCTGTACAACGGAGTGGACATTGAAGACACCGATAATAGCCACTTCTCGTGGCTTTAAATTACTTAACTCATAAGGATGCATCCTCGTTGATAGGCATCGTGCCTACGCGTCTTTCTCTTTGCACGCGACGGACTTTCTCAATAAGAGAGCGCGATAATGCAGCGAAATATGACAACGACGACGAGGACAACCGTCGAACGAAAGTGGCCCGTCCCGTCTCATCGGTCGCATAATCGGTCGGATCATGATCGCAGTGACAGGAAATCGGTGAAACGACCTATCGAAGAAAGAAAAACATTGCGATCGATCGCCGAGAAAAATTTCGAGTTTTCTCCTCTAACTCGGTTGCACAATTTTCAGGAGCGCTCTTCTGGAACGAAGACACCACCGAGTTCGACAGAGCACTCGTAACTCTTGCCGCGTATAATCGACCCCACGAGACCAGTACAGTGACAGGGAAAAGAGTCGCAGAATCCACAATTTCTTAATAATATACCGTGTCTGGTAAACGCGTCACAGATCGATGGATGGCAGTTTAATCAAAATAGCTACTACACTGAAAAAAATTTCTGGTTGAAAATAGACGAATCCCGACAAGAATTTTTTTGTTAATTTTATTAGAATTCTAATTGAGATAACATCGAAATTCTGGTTGATACAATATTTCTGGTAAAATCTACAAGAATTCTTATTTTTACCAGAATAATTATTACGATTATTTACCGACTGTCAGAAAGAATAAGCATAGTTTTCATTGATTTTTACAAATGTTTTAAAGCAATCTCATCATTTAGATTTATCCAAATTGTCTTTAGTTACAAATGGCATGCAACATAAATTAACGTGTCATTCCTCACTTCTGACGTCACGATTCAATATGGGTGTGGTGACTACTCAGGAGTCTTAACCAGAAAATTCTGATTCATCCATTTTCCATTAGAATTATTATTTAATCCAACCAGACCATTTTTCTCAGTATAAGTATACAAAAAAATCTAAAGAATATCTAAAAGAGATTTAAAACATACGTCAAATATTTCTTAAATACAAAACGTCCATTAACTGTAATTTAATACGTAATTTTTAATATTTTAATTCCTACAATTTTTAATATATTTCTATAATTCGAGACAATATTTATCAAATTTGCACTTATTTCCTAATTATAAATGTAAACAAATTACTAGAAACTGCGATGCATTCATAATACTCAAATAATGTTCCAATAATTTTGTTGTTTAATAACATAATTGGCATACATTTTCATTTCTCTTGCACGTAAAATCGCATTAAGAATTGTTTACACAGTTTCATTTTTGCATCAGCGCGTAGACGAATGCAAACGATATATACTTTCTAAGAATACTTACGATGATAGTAGGGTGGTCGGAAAGTATGTTCTTGCACGGACCATCGGGGTGGAAAGATCACGAAGTCGGCTGCAGCCGTTCCAGGTTTGTTAGTGGGGCACGTCAGCACGGTGAAGATGGAGGGATCCTGCGGAATTAATTGAGCTACTTAACATTCCGAGGGTAATTACGATTAAATAAAAAAAATTGAAAAAATGGATATGTAGAAGAATGAAAATAAACTTTATATACATTTATTCGTTAAAATCTAAAATGTATATTAAAAAGGATTAAGAAGGAGACGGAAAAGCAAATCATTAAAGATAATATTCAATCAGTCCATACACAATCGAGTTATTTCCTTCGCGGGAAAAATTTAAAAAATTGCATTTTACATAAACGAAATTTCGTTGCAATTCATAGCAGTTTTCCTTTTAAATATCAATGCGCAGTTAGATTCTGCATATGGTGATGTTTACTTACGCAGTGATCAAAGGAGACGGAATTGATAACCATGAACCTATTAAGATCGTATTTATAAGGTACGTAGTTGCCATGCCACGCAATTACGTCAAAGGGGCTGTGACCTTGATTGGCCACAAATAGCTTTCCCTGATATTTACATATGATCTCGTAATCAATCTCACGATCCTCGTACCAAGCCACAGGAGTTTGAAAGTCCCTTGGATTCGCCAAGCCGTTTGCTCCTACGTGTTAGACCAGTTCATTAATTTGTTCATTAAAGAAACATTAATTTATCGAATTTTTCCAATAAAAGAAATTTAATTATCAACCACAGCAGTCGTACTATGTTGTTTTTCAATAAGCTTTATCTCGAAGATGAAATGCAAAAAATTTTTCAAATTCGGATTAATTTTCTCAAATTTCAACAGAAGATGTGTTAAAAATATTTTCATAATTCTTCAAATCGACAATCAAATTACCTATCGGTCCTAATTCTGGCAACTGGAAGTGATTGTCGAAGACCTCTAAAATGTAACCTCTGCTTGGACCAAAGACGGTCACGGAGAATCGCATTCCTTGCTGAATAACGCATATTTCGTTTGGTTCGCATCGCATCTTGCCGAACTCTGTCGTAATCTGCAGAATACCCAACTGTGGCACTGCAATTGGACTCAAAATTTAAGATATATTCTTTTTCTCTTTAGGGAAAGTCGGCATTGCTTTTTCTACCACTTACCGATGAGAAAATCGCCATCGGCGTTGTAAAATGCCCTATCTTTCATGGAAGCGTTGCACAAGTACACGTGTATCGCAATGCCTTGGCGCATCTTGGGATCACCGGCACCACACAAAGTATGAAGACCCTCGATAAAATCGACTTCGGGATCTCGTCGAGTCGGAACGTCAAAAGTCTTCCATCTTAGCTAAAACGTGGACAATTAGCATTTCAGAGAAACTATCCTTCCGATAGATTAAAGGATTCGATATAATAGAAATCTGTGTTCCATTTTTTTTTATAAACTTAAGAAGGTCAAAAGAGGAAAAGAGAAATTTCATAAAAATTTAAAAAGATATGTTTATATTAATCTTGATCTTTAGTTAGATCGTTATTGCATTCAATTCTTGAATTCAAAATTAACCAAAAATTTACCTGATTGGGATTTGGATAAGTCTCGTTCCAATCGTTTCTTACATAAGATTCGACACCACGATCTCTAGTGAAGGGTTTAAACGGGTTGTGAACGACAGACGGTCTTATTCGATAGAGCCACGATCTTTTATTTTGACTACGTGGAGCTAGAAAATAAAAATAATAGTATAAAAATTATGGCAGTGATATTAACCTGATATTATATTAAGAAGAAATAAAAAAATATTAATCTTTGATTCAGCATTGTTATAATAAAAAAATCTAAGTTAAGAAAAAGTGATATTTATGGAATAAATTTTAAAATTTCTTGGAATTTGTAATATCTTAAGACCTCTTTAATCTAAATTTGATAAGAAACAAATTGAAGCCAACGATAACTTGAGCTAACAGTAAGTTTACTTCTGAGATAAAACGAAATTTTCCTCTTACTTTACTACATTAATTTATACTTCAGTTGAAAAATTTGCTTAAATTCAACCAATTTTGAAACAAATAATATTTTTTACAGTGTAAACGACTGTAAGAATCAAATCAAAACGAAGAATATAATCAAAATATCAAATATTTTTTAAAATAGATTACTTCAAGAATATTGAAAGTATTGAGCAAGCAATTTTATCAGGGAATAGAAGAGTTACTCTTCCGTTACTTTTACTTTCTATAATAACAATTTGATAAGGACGTTGCAACTTTTATGATTATAACAATGACTAACTAATCGCTGAGATTGCGCTAAAGTTGGAAAAGTCACTTTGAAAAATAACTTGCATCATTACGTGTTTTTTTACGGAAAGAAATATTTTGTAACGAATAATGAGTAACGTTACTTCGTTACAAGTAGTTACAAATAGTTACAAATACCGAGTTAATATTTTAATTTTAATTTTAATTTTTTTTAATTTTTTAATTAGTTACAAATACCGAGTTAATTTTTTCAGTAACGAGTGACTCATCCAACATTACTTACACGTAACAATCGAGTGACTTTTCAACTCTAATGTTACCATTACAGTCATAAAAAAATTCGTCATTGCTAAATCGTTATTATAACGATAAGAAAAGTACAAGTAAACGGCACTACAAGTAACTAGTTCCATTCTTTGGATTTTACTTACCTGTAAACGCTGTGCCCGATAGTTGTTCGGCATAAAGACCATATGGACATTTCTGTGGATTATTCTGCCCAATGGGTAGTGCTCCTGGGCAGCGCTCATCCTCGCTGGAGAACTCAAAACCGAATCCCGTGAGATACTGAAAGATATTTCTCGATAGAACAAGTTTTTCCCGTTAAATTACTAATAACTCCCGTTAAATTAACACTCTCGCAATGTCAAAAGTCTAGATTTCAGCAATTCCCATTTTTCTATATCAAAGTCTTCTTTTTTGACAATATTTACATTTATTTAAAACGAAAAATATTATACGCTCATTTAAAATGAGAAATATATTAAATTCTGAACGAAATTACACTAAAAAATTTAGGCTATATTCGCAAAATCGTTGTAAATTACTTAAATTAAATAATTTTTCAGCAATCATTTCCATGTATAAAAGAACAGCTTTTTTTAAACACTGAATGAAAAATATTTTCCAAAGAGCACTGAATTTTTCCGAAAAATAGATACATATGTCAGAATTGAAACGGTTTCGCTACCTTGAGCTCGTCTTTCATGACGAGTAGCGATTTTTTTCGGAGACAGATCGTTTCTTTTCTTGACTAGAAATACGGAGGTTTTCGTGACACTCCCCCGTTTTATATAAATACGTTCTTAGGTGACGCAATAATGATAAGAGATCGATGTTAAACAAAAACATGTTTATTCACTCCTCAACCAATCGAGCGCGACTGTTCGAATATGCAAGGCCTCTAAAACCAGTTGAAGAGCCAGAAATATTACATTATGCTGCGGAATTTATTGTCGGGTCTCTCTCGCAACCGAGACGAGCCCCTCGCAATGACACGAACCTCATCGTATGACATTACCGAGTTCCATGTGAACGTATTCAAATTAGTCTCCTACACCATCTAGGTATTTTCTATGAGAGCATCCGGTTGAATCTTGATTATTTCGGCATATAATAGCAGTAAAGTTTCTTAAATTACTTATACAATGAGAATTCTATTTGTAATTCTACTCTAATTCCAATATACTTTATTCAAAGAACATCCTTATAACATAAAAGCGTATTTAAGATATCCCTTAAAAATCTGTGTTAGAAGATAGTAACAGTTTTTCTTTTGACATTTTTCTCTATTGTTATACAGGATGGGACAAAAGTACCGCAACCCTAAATATCTTGGACATTATAAGTTTTTTCTGTGTTTCGAACAAAAGTTATAGGATTTAAAAAAATCTTTTTACTAATCTTATATCAGTTCGACTTTGGATAGCATCGGCAAAATCAAACTGATAAGATCAGTAAAAAGATCTTTTTAAATCCTATAACCATTATCTAACTTTTCTCTAAAACTTTATATTTTCCGAGATATTCAGAGGTTCCGGTACTTTTGTCTCACTGTATATCTGCAAATGCATCTTCATTTTGTATTTAAAATGAAATTAAAATTATCACTCAAATAATTGGTACACACGTTTCTAATACTTAGTTTTTAACCGTAAAAGCGATTAATGAATTTCTTGTGTAAATCTTTCAAATTCCTTCACGATACGTCTACATTTGCATACTAATTAAGGTGCTCAATTTCCATCGTGTTTACTGAAAACATTCTTGTATCTTTAAGGAAACTTACAAGCAGAAAAGGCGTGTACTAACTACATGTATTACACTCTAAATAGATGTTTTATTGATCACTCAATGCGATTAAAAAACTCGACTTGTTTGTTACATTCAATGTCGTATCAAAATATAATACGTTTGTATTTTACATTTAATTTGTATTGTATTTTATTGTTTAATCGTTTTATGGAATCATAATATTATTCTTTCTCAATAATTGCATTATACAAATAAATTACACTGACTAGCAACAATTTTTACAAATTTAAGTTGTAATTAATTCAAATCTTTTTAAGCAAATAAATTTTTTTTTACAGTGTCGTAACTGTATGCATAATTATATATAATAAAATATTACTGTTACATAAATAAGATTTAAGAAACAGAGAATAATTTAAAAATCCAAATGCTGAAAAAAATATATTTATTCTTAATTCGCAAGTAAATAACAATAACAACAACACTTGTAATCGCACTAATCTTTTCATTTTATCGTAATATGTTTTACAGATTCGTGAAAATTACGATCTCAGTAATTTTCACATTTTCATTCTGAATAGCATTGCTGTAGTTTAACAGGAATTCGTTTCGCTTCTCGTCGAAATTGAACGTCTTGGAGCTTCCGAAACGAGCCCACAGCATGGTGCGCGTTTATGATGTACATACTCATCAAATTGGATTCTTATACTTATCCAATCATTTTCACTTTGACGGCTACTTATCGGTTATCGCGGGAAGTTTATTGACCGCGAGAAAGTTTTGCGTTACGCCGAACGCGTACTCCTCCTCGCACCTTTGGGGTAATTATGCGCGAGTTTTCATCAATCATGATTGCAACGAAGACGTCTGTTGCGCCGCAATCCAGATGAAGCAGCGTTAAGAGGATAATTTTTAATTCTAGATCGTTAACTGCTGTTATCGGCAATTCCGCAATACTTCCTTGTAATTGTTTGACAATATCTTACAATACTTATTATAAAATTTATAAATAACATTTATATCTGTATTTGTATGGCATTACATTAAAACTTATTTTATGATTTGAAGTATAAAACAAATTTGATTTATGTCTTAGATGGTCATAATAATGTATATAGTAATAATTCGTTATTATACGTACAATAGTAGTATTTGTGTTATTTGACGATATTCGAGCTTCAGATTTAAGCTCGTTCGCGCAAAGCGATTGCAATGCAGAAAATAACACTGTAACGAGGCATTTGTCATAATTGCGTTCCATATTCTCGAACTTTCACCGTGCGGAGAATCAGTCATTTACTGATGGCATATAATAACAAGTCAATCGTGTTCACTTAGGAAAGCCTTTAATTTCTTGCATAGGATCGAATTATAGAAATGTTTTTATGTGTCGATATTACGAATGAGCGAATGGAAACCTATGCTAATTAAAATGCGCATTAAAATTAAGATCATGCGTTGTTTTCGCGAGCGAGACGATGTGTGATTGCAAAAAAAAGGAATTTAATTCCAGCTTTTGTTGCAAATACAAACAACTTTATGATTCACGATTGCATTGCGAATAAATGGACTAAAGCGACAGAGCATAACACAATCTCAGATCATGGTAGAGCAAATAGAACAATTCACGGAAGTACAATACTGTGGGGCAGTAGGACATTCCTTTCGTCATATGATGCTCTATTTTCTTCTACGAGAGAATAGATAAACGTTAATAAAGAAAAAACAAATTTTCACAGATCTCGTTAACAAATTTCACGTTATATTTATTTATTAATTATGATACTTTATTACGTGATATTAATACCTGATGTTTATATAATGCTTACAGTTAGACATTTCAAATTATTATTAATTTATAGTACAATAAATGTTTATTTATTCATTTAGCTTATCTTTATTTATATACTATTATATATTATTTAGCTTATCTTTATTTATATATCAGTTTAATTGAAGCATCAGGTTACTATACTTTACAAAAATGAATTACGATATGTTTACGTAAAGAACGATGGAAAATTCTACTGCACTATACATTGTGCAATACTGATTCGACTGGTTACTGTACTGATTATCGAACAAAAATCGAGGTGACGGTCTAAGACTTTTTCGATAAAAGACAGGTTACATGACGGGAAGCGATGAATATTTTCGAAAGCGCTCGCCGACGTCAACTCGGAACCGCTCGGACTAGTTTTATTCCAGTCGCAAGAATTGAAAATGCAGAATTGTTAAAAAATTAATGTATGCCAATTCTATTTCATAGACAATTTAACAACGAACTTAGTAGATCTTAGATTTATTGATTTCACGTTCATTAATTCCAGCAAACCAGTAATCATGACATTTAACTGGATTCTAATTTAATTAAAAATACGAAATCCAACAATCTCTATAGTGAGAGGATCTATAGTGAGAGGAATAGTAAAAGAGTTTGATTAGTGATAATACTACGATTAGAAACGTTTCAATTGATGGTGAATTAATCTTTGTAAGTTAAACGAACAAATAATTAATTCTGAATTATTCCTTATTATCAATTTATTCCTTTTATCAATTTACTTCTTACATCAATTTATATTTTACAAAAATGATGAAAAGCAATGACTTTAGGCTTTCTTTGCCATGCTGAGACTTATAATATTGCTCGATTAATTGGTCACGAGAAGAGAAAATATTGAAGTAATCCGCGTCATTAAAATAAAATGAAGAAAGGAAATAAAAAGAAAGGCTTAAGTTGAAAGACTTTCTTCACATGGCTTTCTTCACGTATTTAAAATAGATAATAGAATAGAAATTAATCCACGATAAATCATTCGAAAATATTCACAGGAAATTGCGCGATAATTTTACGTATTAGAGCGTCTATTCATAAATGCTTATGAATAGAGCAATCGTTCGATGCAAAATCCACAGTAACATCTAAAAGAAGAAATATAATCCAGCGCCAGCAGTAGGGAATTATTCTTTACAGTTAGGTGTAGTGGGAAGCAAAGAGAGAAGATAAGAAATTCTCTTGGTGGGAGATGATAAAGTCACTTCGCAGAGAGGAAAGAGAGGTGCCACCTCGCGGCGGCAACGACTTCTCTCTTCCATCTCCTTGGTCGAGAGATTTCCTCTTGCATCTCGGGAGAGAGAACTAACGGGGAATGCACAGATGTACCTGAAGAAAAAGAACTCGATCCCGTGCACGCTTTCTAGGTCGCGCTTACTTTTCAAAGAGGCGCGTGTCGTCTTCTCGTCGAACTAATAACAAGCGAAGATAAATGTTTATTTTTATACCAATAACTGCGCTATTTCGGTAAAAATGTCATTTGAATCTACAATGAAATCAAGATTTGTTTAAAACAAGTAAAGGCAAAAAGATTATTTGACGAAGCAAATTTTTCCTTCTCTTTTAATTCTCGTTTAATATCTAGAAATTGATAAGGAAGAAACGCACACTGTTTCTAAGTTTTTCAAAAATTTCTATTTACAATCCAACAATAATAAAAATTTGCAGAAAAGAAATAAATAAAATAAAATAAAAAATTTTATAGAAGAGTTACGAAAAAGTTTCTCAAACATCATCATTCAAGGACAATATCAAAATATAAATGTCTTTGATAAAATAAATATCTATAATAAAATAAAATAAATAAATCCTCTGCGAGGATTAATCAGCGTCGATTCATCCTTAGATCAAAAGGTAAATCGGAACGTAGCGGGAAAAGCTGCAGGATTAGCCGGGAGTAGGACAATCGCGAGGAAAGGCAAAAGGATGAGATCTAAGAGAGGTCTTCTACGGTGAACAGTCGCAGAGTTGTATCCCTACCTCGAACGTCAAGGCGAGAGCAGGTGGGCTCTCGACGATCTGCTCGAGAGCAGCGAGAGAGTCCCGGTCTGCCGCCTCCTGCGCTCGCACCGGTGGCACGCAGGTACCGGCCTCCGAGAGAGACTCGCGCGAGTTCGTTGGCCGACCGTCACCCGCGCGCCCGTTTTCCCGATCGCTCTCGCGTTACTGTTCTCCATCTGGGCGGACACCAGATTCTGGAGGCTGAGTCGGAAAAGGGCACCCGGACCTGAACGGCGCGGGTGCGGTACAACTCGCCCCGTTCTCTTCCCCTCCTGTCGACCAGAGGAAACTCGCATGGGCACCATGGGTTCCAGTCGAGAAATCGACCCGCGTCACCCAGCCTGCCGGCAGGTGCTAACTCGCGCGTGACTCCGGTGTTAGCTTGGAATCATAGTCGCGCGCCCGCTCGCGCTGACCGGACGTGTTCGCCGAGCTGGTAAGAATCGGTGGGATTGTATCACGTGATTGTAAAAATTTCGAGGAATTTTTTCTGTTTTATCATTCACTACTGAAAATACCGGAAGATTATATCTGGAGATTTATCCAAAATTGGAGACCTTTTTTATGGACCTGTCTTGACGTTTAAATCCGCAATACACTCCGTTTTATAGAGTGCGAAGATAATCAGAAGTGACCAAAAATATCTGGGAAAGTTTTGGGTACACTTTGGAGGGATCAGTTTTGATATTTGTGATACTTCGAAAAATTCTGAATATTTGTTTAGAGCGAGGATAAAGGAATAGTCATACATGTTTTTAAAAAATTAGACACCTGGGCAGATCAGTTTCAAGAATACTAAATTTTTCGCTTAAAATTAAGAAAGGTTAAGAGTGGCGAAAAAATTTCTGACTGCAATTTTGAAGATTCTGAGACTTCTGTGGACTCGTCTGAAGTGCAAGATCAGCCGTTCGATCGACGCGGAGTGGAAGTACCGTTGTCTCTGGTCGTTCCGAAGACTCGCGGATGAACGGCCTTGACGGCGCAAGCCTCGGTCTGATCCGAACTAGGACAGCGAAGCGTGTGTTCCGATAGATGGATGGATGGAAAGATCGAGCGAAATTCTCGTCTCCTTCTGGAACAGAAAGGACTTCCTTGAACGGACTTGAGGCTTTTTGCTTTTGAGCAGCAGTGACGAAATCTGGTTTTGCATGGGTGTATATGTAAGTGAACCGTAATCCACAAGTACCGTAATGTCGCGGGTTCTACTCCCAGGTTCTCAAGAAGCAAGTTTAGCACCGTTGAGCTCGCTCTCTTTATAATCCGATATGTGACTTTTAGATAACGCATCTACATTTAAATTTACATCCCTATCATTTAATAGTTAAAAATATTAAACTGTATAAAGTTTTGCATAAAATGATGTTTGTCATTCTTTTTTTATACTGGATGCATATTAGAAATTCGATTGACAAATTTAAAAAACAATAATACGAAGTTGAAAATTTAAGGGTCGATTACACTTGGACGTCGAATCACCTTTCAACGATGACTTGAAAGTTAGTAAAATCGGCTAGCTGTAACGGAGAACCGCGGTTTCTATCGTACGATCCGGTTTTGCGTGCAAATCAAATAGCTGCTACTTTTCACTCGTAATGAGCGGCGCGAACGTTCATGCGTATAATAGAAAAATACACTTACGTGCATATTTCCGTGTCGAAGATCGAGGTAAAAGATTGTAAAATTGATATCCGAAATATTTATTGCCCGCGGTATGACTGTTAGCTTCTTCTCGAATAATAATTTAAACCTACATCATTGACACACTTATTCTCTCGCAGACTTTGCCTAGCATATGGCAGTTTTTAATTTTTTATAATAAACGACGTAGAGAGTGTCATATTAATATAACTCAAAGTATCACATTGAAAAGATTATAGATTTAACGTAAAAAGTGCGGCGATGGAAATATAAGGTAAAAATGATTTTGCTGAAATAACTAAAAATTAGATATATATCTAAAAATAATTTTGTTGGATTATCAAAATAATTGGTTCCTAGAATGTAAAAATTTTTTGCAGCATTTTTTTATCATGATTGTGTTTCTTACACACATAATCATTTTATTTTAGCTATCTAAATTTTTACACTTCAGCAAAATTGTTCTTTTCATACTTTTTCTATGAATTTACGAATAGTTAAACATAAAATAAATGTTTGCTTCCTATATTCGTTAATATATAGATATCTTTATAATGTGAATTTCATTTGAGGTTTCGCAATTACATTCGATCGATTGGCACTACTTATATCATTCGTCCGTCGTGAATGAAACATAGCAATATCGCAAATCGCATTGGCGAGTCGCGTAAGTCGACCTTGCGCGGGTCAGTTCCACGCATAAAACTCGGATCTTTCTCTGCGTATCACCTTGAACATCGACCGCTCGCGAATGCGCTTACGAAGATAAGAGAAACATTATGATGCAGCGGTTCATGGCCGATAATAAGACGAGGTTAAAACGATTTTAAAACACGTTATCTGCAACAATGGAAATATCATGACGTCAAGCGCGAATAAAAATATCATCGTTTAAAAAATATAACAAAGGATTGATTTCTTAAATAAATTTAGAAATATTAAATATTTCTAGGAATTTATTAAGTCTAAACTTAAGTCAGGCACTTCCCTATTTTATATAAATTTTCACATCTCTTATTATTTTTATCTTACTTTTAGTTTGCTTAGGAAAAAATGACGATTCATTAATTAGTCATTTTAATAAATTTTATTTTTGTATATGTAAAAGTCTTTAGATATTTTTGAATTATTTTCGGACAATTCATTTTCAACAGTTTATCTGTTAATTGATTTTGATAGTAAGAATAGTAAAAGCTAAAATCTACATTGCATTTATTTTCAAGTGAAATTAGAAGAAGGAAGTTTTTGTCGACTTTCTCGAGACCGATACATTTGACTTGATGCGTGTTTAAAATCACCGATCTGACAATAAAAATGTAACGTCTATAAATCCGCGGCTTTCTAATGTTTGCTCACACGAATTCGCTTACTTCGAATTATGGTAAAAATGTGCGAAATAGCGGGAGAAGATGCTTTGTTAATCGGAAGCAAGATGCGTCGAACGTTACTCGTAATTACGGTGGGCAATGAACCGATTATTAAAACAGTATATCAGCGGCAATTTGATCGATATCAAGGAGAAGAGATCCTCGCGTGATCACACATCAACGAGGAGTTCATTGCCATAATTATCACTTCGTTAAAAACTACAGACGCCACTTACAAGACTAAATTCCATTAAATAAAAATGCGAATATCAGTTTACCAGTCGCATCATGTAGATTCATTTTTTCTTCTTCGCTTTTCGGCCTTCACCCGGTTGAGCGGAAAGCGTGTCGTTGGCGCGTATCGCAACGGGATACACGTTACGGGGAAAGGATTTGCGTGGACGGGCATTTTTTCCGGGGTGGTGCCCATTCACGGACCAGTGACATCGCACTGTCGCAGCTATTTGTCATTTCTCTCTACATCACGATACATTTTCATACCTCCGTAAAAATCCGAGATGCCACCCAAGATCACGCAATACCCTGATCAAGAAGTCAATAAGAATGCAGCAGACTGTGAAATCACAGTTGCGTTTTCTCCTGTCAATTTTGACGAGAGTAAGATGAAATGTGTACATTTCTTCCTCGAATAAAAAATCTAAATTAAGAAAAAAAATGTGATGAATTTAAGTACAAGTTGACGATTAGCAAAGATAGTGATTGTGAGAGGTTGATCTGTATTTAGACACGAGGACGGTACGGAGAGATCTCAGTGCAAATTTCTCCTTTCGACCGGCACAGAAATTAGAATACGTGTGGCCATCATTTAAATATCACTTTCCCGCGTGACCGAGCGACGCGAAATGTATCACTTTTATTGCTTTGAAGAAACTATATCTCTTACACGATCCTTCTTTCGGTTCCTTCTTTCATCACGCAACCCAATTACGCCACAGGCCAAGCACATCGCATACGAATTTGCATAACAACGTCGGTACGACGTACAAATGTATTTCCGCAACGTTAAGACACTCGGTAGAGCAAGAACTAATCTGTTGATCACTCATCTATTTTTTCTCTGTTTAATATCTTACGAAACGAAATATTTCATAATATAAACTTCATAACATAACTTCAAATGAATTTTATTTAAATATATATATACGTTTTTAATTGTTAAATCATAATTAATAAATTGTTTAAATTGTTAATTAATTAATAAGAATTGAACAAACAACAATGAAATAGCTAAATAAAGATTCGTATAAACTTATCTATAAATCGATGATGATTTTACATTTATCGAATGACGAATAAATAAATTTTATTTATTTTACACAAAAGGATATTTGAAAATGTGTCCTAGAAAAGAACTCTTTTTTTGATTGAGTACATTTCGTCAGCTTAATCAGATACTTCAGTCATATTGATGCATTTCATCTCGATAAAACGAGAGCGACTGGGAAGTGGCGGCCATGGAATTACGTGGAAAGAGAGTTACAAACCCGGTAACTTACGGTACATAGTCTAATCAGCGAGTCAGCGGGTTACTGGTCTATAAAACATAAAATAATCCATAGCGCAGTTTAAAGTACTACATATACGTAGTATATAAATTCACACAGAAATACACAAGCATAAAATCCAGATAGATCATTAAAAGGCATTTATCTCCTATTAATAAAATAATCCAGTTTTTCGACTGGCGACATGAGAGTTAAAGTTGCCCCGCCCGGGATTCTGCAAAAACCTGCATCACGTTTCGGATCATAAAATTATAAATCCAATTTACTTTTTCTCCGTCGATCAAGCGATCGATAAGATGATATCGACGTCCGCCATCACAAATTATTGTAATAAACTTATTTTTGAACGGATTAATGCGGAACAATATTTATCGGCGCTGCACGTAACCGTCAATTAATTACGCTTTCTTTTTACAATCTCTCCGTATCGCTTGACTTAAATCATAATCATCATTCGTTGTTGAAATTATTTGTTTATTATTGAAAGTAAAAATAAAATTAAAAAATCAAAGGCTCAACCGATCAAAAATAAGATATAAAATGAAAGAACATACGCGTTAAAAACTTGTTATTATTTAAAGTATTGAAACTTTATGAAAATTCATAAAATAATCTGTTCGATTCGCATGTCTCGTATTTTCATTTTTAATATGTTTATATTAATTCAAGATGAGAGAGAGAGAGAGAGAAATCATTGTTTCTTGAAATTAAACAAAGATAAATGATAATATCTCATATTTTTTACTTCTCCCATTTTTCTTCTTTCACGTTTTATTAATTATTTATTTCGTATTCACTCGATAAAGAAAAAAATAAATTCCTTCTCTTGACCTTCTTGGTAAAAATTATACTCGACGTAAAAATTATATGGAAGCGTTAATCGTAACTTGCACGCTTCTACTTTCCTCCGCCTTATTACAAATCGCTTATATATACAAGGTTACATGTCTAAATAACCGCAACAATAGTAGTGTTCTTGCGACGTTCGCCGAATCATCAACGTTTTTCTCCTTCAACGGAATGAACTTTTCCGGTGAACGCAAACGAGGTCAAACCCAGACTGCGCAACCGTGGGTAATCGCTATTAAGCAACGGGGATTATCGCAAGTCCACGAGTACAGTGTTCGACAAATGTAATCGATTGCGGTACATCGAAGAAACAAACTAGAGAGAGACAGAGAGAAATGAGGGAGAAAGAGAAAGAGAGAAAGGAGATTTAGGTGCTTCAGTTGCTCAGCTCAATAAGGAAGAGGTGTTCGTTTCCGATAAGTTTCATGATTAGGATTGGGATCATTCCGGTCTAATAGATATGCGAATAAAAGTTAATTACCGGCAAGCAGTTCTAATCGCTCTTCGTTTGTTCTAACGTGCAGCAGGAAACTGGCAAGCCTCCTCCTCCTAATGTCACCCCGAAGATGGCCAGGGATCGCGCCGGGTCGGACTACTCAGGCCACATGAGCGATACCACCACGTGCAGCTGCGTCGCGAGCTCTATCGACAAAGTAAGGGTAGACTTCATCAAGCTACAGTTGGCCATCAAATATCAAATAAGGAGAAAGTGTATACAAATATACGGGAGTCTTGAATTAAAAAAGAAAGGCATCATAGATACCATCGAAAATTTCGTGATTGTGTAGCCTTTGCTTCTCTTTTTTAAAATGTTAAAACAAGATTTGCTTTTGGATTACATGAACAAGATTTAAAAGATTTTAACTATTTTTGTCTCGACTATTTTTATTCTTAAGAATTTATTGGAAAATATACATATATACTCGATATCGTAAAATAGTATCATAAAATTTCATAAATAAAAGTTGTCGAAAAATACACTGCAAACCCAAGTGTAATAAGTATAATGAATGCCTTCATAAACGTGTAGGATTTAGTTTTCCATGTAAATAACACTATATTACATAAAGAAAATGCAGAATTTAAACATACAAACGTGTAGTATAATGTTATTTTTACACAGAAGCATCTTCTGCTACACGATAAAATTTAGCAGAATATACTGCAAATCGATCCAAGTGTGTAATAAAGCACTTATCATACATTTGGATTTGTAGTATATCTTCTACTAAAATTAAAAAATTTTAAGATGCAATTTTTTTTCTTTTTCATCTTATGTATTTAAGACGTCACTAAAACACATTGCAGTGCTCGTTGCGCGGCTGCGGCATGTTCCAAGAGCCGTTCTTCCTGCATCCGCCGGGCTCTCGACCTCGGGACGGTATCTACATAAATCCTATGAGTGCATACATCGGCGAACCGCCTAAACCTAAGGACACAACCGAGTCCTTCTACCTGCATAGCCCGCATGATCTAGTTTACACAAGGATTACGCGGCTGTTTGGCGACGCCGAGAAGTCGCGAAACGGCGTCGCGGCGGATCAGCGCCATATGCCGGAGAGGAAAGACGAGACTCTGACTGGTAAGTAGCACGTCCCAGATACTTCATCGCTATATTATAACGCCCGCTACACACGGTGTCCAAAAAATATTCCGCTGCTAATCGGAAGTGAAGGAGCTTTAACCGTATTATAGCAATTATTCGAATTTATTGCAAGTTATCAAAATATTATTAATTCATAAAAGAAACAAATGTTGATCATCCTGAATAGAAACTTATAATTCAAAGCTTGGTTATTTAGAATATTAAATACGAAAGTTCAATGATATAAGAAAAGTGCCATAGAAAAATTCAAATTTAAGAAAATATTTCGTCAATCAAATTATTTGTAGATGAGATAAATTAAAGTAATAATTTTGGGACACCCTGTTTATTCCATCGATTCTCAACCACTGTAGTTCCAGGACGACCTCGATTTACATCAGATATTCGGTATCGTCGATCTTTTCTGTCTCTCTTTCGCTTTTTCTAACGATATTTACAGTCTTATAGATCGAACAAATAGAACTATTTGCCTCCATTAATTTCATTCCATATATTAACACATCAATTGAAATCAAATTTCTAAAAAAAATTAGGGTATATATTTTCATCAACGTTAATTAAACATAATTAAATATAAAAATCGTACGTAAGTCGACATCTTGTGGGACATGCTATATATGAGAACGTAAATGTTAATTGTTCTTCTCATTTACTTTAGAAGCAAATTTGATCATCTGTTTTACGAGTTTTTGTATATGTGACTAGTACGCGATAAAATGCTGCAAGACTGATCTCAAAGAAACAGAGATACTTGGGTAATTGTTAGAGGAGCGAAAAAACCACACACGTCGCAAACAACACGCGCGCTTCGCGAAACCGGGTTAAAGACTCGCGCGCGATTTACCGCAAATACCGTTAAGCCGTTACAGTGCAGCGGCTCTTAATGAGTAAGAGCAATAAAAACAGCGATTGGCGGATTGAGCGAGTTTCAGCAAAACGCGTAAAAGTCGCCAATGGTGAATTAAAATAAACAAATGAGAATTAAAATAAAAAAGATAAATTTTATAAATTTAATAAAATTGTATAAAAAAAAAATTGGATTCCAATCGTTATGGAAATTACAAATTTCTACAAAGCAATCGACTGTGGCAAGCACCTTTTGCGATTTGCAAGTTTAAGCTTTGCACCGCTAAAATAGTTTCTGAAGGACTTCTCGAGCGTGAAAGGCAGTTTTCGCGTAGAAGGCAGTTTTCTCGTCTGCGATGCGTAATATTCCGAGCGAGGCTTTGGCTTTCAGTGAAAGTGGACGTGCACATCAACAACGGCGGATTCGTCGGCCGGCCGCATCCCGGCAACGGACATGCGGCGCGCTCCGAGATCGCGAGGGAGTCCTCGGATCATGCTTACGAGCAGATCTGCGTGAGGCAGGAAGAAACGAGCAGCGTGAGCTCGTCATCGCGGAAAAAGCCAGTGGACAATACCTCCGACAGCAGGTAATACAATTCGAGTAAATTTACCGCGAACAAAGTAAAAAATTAAAGTTAATCCAAAGCATCTGACTCATGTCCATTTCTACCGATGTAGATTAACTTTAAACTCAGTTTAATTTAAAGTCTTTACTTTTTTCTAATTCTTCGAACTGGGAAAAGATAAAAAATAAGTTGAACCCAGATTAAATTTAATCTATATTAGTACAATTATGGACATTAATGTCAAAAATTGAGAGAATTAATTTAAATTTGATTCTCTCAATATAAAAGTCAATTTTCCCCCCCAAGTAAAAAAAAAGTCATTGCTCTAAGCTTTAAATTGAATTAATCAAAACATAGAATAATATAAAAATAACATAAATGTAGTAATATAAAAGGGTTTTTAAAATAAAACATTTAATAATACATGAATTATATCTTTTTTCAGAAAAAGGTATAATTCATGTATTATCGGACATTTTATTTTAAAATAGTTGTTATGTATTAAAATTTGTCTGGTGAATATACGTCATTAAGTCGAGTAAATATTATTGAAATCATTCTCGCGATACCACGAATCACGTGTCAAGAAAAGAACTTTGATGAGCGCAGCATAACAAAATATCAGACACTGTAAAAACGATTCACGAAGGTAAGCAATTTCGATGTATCAACATCTGGAACAGTGTATAACCGTCTTGCAATCGAAATTGGCTCTATAATCATTAAGAGATGATCGTTCGTGAATATCATGTTTGGAAAACAACATCGTTTTGCTATTTTTCTTACTCGTTTATCTCGTAGATACGCGATCGCGCGGCAGGTATTTCATTACAAGTAGATTAAATTTAATTCTCCCGATTCGTGGATCCGCGAAACATCGATAGATCTATCTCTGACGTTTCAGTCGTTCTCGAAAAACCGACAGGCGATACAGCCGATCCAGCAGCGCCAGCGAATCCTCGAACATGAGCAGCGAGGTCCATGGCCTCTCCTCGACGACGTCCACCCCATCCTTATCACGACACAGTAGCAGCGAACGGATCAGCAAGTCGGGGATTAAAACAAACGCGGAAACGCTACACGGTACATCAAAATAATTGAAAACGTCTGCAGGATGGCCATACTGTCGG